TTGGGATTCTGTGATGTCATAGAGTGGAAGGTCAGAGGTTGCATTCAGAGTATGCAGCATATATTCTGAAATTTCTGGTAGTGTCTAACTGCCTAGGTGGTGATTGATTGGCATCCATGGCACAGCTTTATGATCACCAACAACCCTAACAATGTTCCAATGATGGAGGTGAGGAGTTTAAAGAAGTCATGGTCAAAATTTGGGTCTGATGTGTTGATAGAGGACATTCAGTTTCCCCCACACTACAGTGCATGAGAAAAGGGAAGTAGAAGCTTTAAGCTAATTGTTAGACTCAAGCTGCATGTGATCAAAACCATATGATAAACTAGTGTGCCTTCACATTTGAGACTTCCACTAGAGTTCACTTGTTGTGCTTTATTGATTGAGAGCTTCAAGGTCTTTAGAGAATAGCTTAAGAGTAGAATGAGAGTGAATAAACTTTAGCTTGAAGCTGGCATTATACCAGTGAGAGCTGTCCTACTTATACATATCATTGTGCTACTATAAATACCTTCTACTTATTATGTTTGTGTAGGTTATTATGCTTGTTGTCTTTGAGCATCATTGCTGTCTACAATAGTGTCATTGTACATCATCAGGCAATGCTGTTGCATCAAAAGACAATGACTGACTGGGCTTATTGTGATGACCAAGCCAGTCCCACAGTCTTAAGTGCTGGTTTAGTGCTCTGACTAAGCATGAATAGAGGTTAATCCATGTAAAGAAGAAGAGCAAATGAAAAAAATTGTAACAATTTTCCTCACTGCTTCTGAGATCTTAAAGGAAGTTCAATGAGAAAAGAAGTCCATAGAAGAAGTGGTACAATCTGCATACAACAAGAAGGAAGTGGGATGGACTCTCAAGAAGAGAGTATACTACTTTCACAACTGACTATACATCTCTACCAGCAAGAAGCTATATAGTGAGATCATCATAGTATGCTATAATTATCCAACAGCAGGATATTCAGAAATCATGAAGACACAAGAGCTAGTCACATGTGACAACTAGTGGCCTAATCTGAAACAGTCAGTGAAAGCATATGTCAAAGGATGTGAAATGTGCCAATCCCTTTAGACAAGTGGAAGGTGATATTGGTGGACATGATAGGCTCTCTTTCTGAGTCCAAGAGGCATGACACTATTTTGATAGTGGTAGATCAGTTTTCAAAGGAACTCATTCCTATTGCAATGAACATGAACTTGAATGCAGACTATTGGGTGTGCCTATTCTAAGATCACATGTATTCTCATCACAGGCTCTCTGATAAGATCATCTCAGATTATGGCCTGCAGTTTATCTCACAGTTCATCAAAGAGTTATATAAGTTGCTTAGAATTATAGGAAACCCATTCACTATGCACCACCTCCAGACTGATAGACTAATAGAACAGGTCAACCAGGAGATTAAAAAGTATCTCAGGGTATATATAAAGCACAGATAAGATGATTGGGCAGAGTGGCTCTCCTTGGCTGAGTTTGCCTACAACAACTATGAAAACCCAGCAACAGGCTTCAGTCTATTCTTTATGAACACTGAAACACATCTGAATACTGAGATGAACCTCTCATGAAGAGAAAGCTGAGTGCATATTAAATAAAGCTGCTGAGTCAATGAAAAAACAGTATGGCAAGGGAAAGGCACCAGTAAGAGACTATCAACCAGGTGATATGGTTATGCTGGATATAAAGAATTTGAAAACAGACAGGAAGATAAAGGAGTTAGACAACAAGTTTGAAGGACTCTTCAAGTTCATGAAGAAAGTAGATGATAGGATCTATAAATTGTCTATACCAAAGATATGGAAAATCCTGACAAGAGATGTTCAGAAAGAGAACAGAAGAAAGCATACCAATCTTGATGCCTAGAATGAAAAGAGACATCCAATCCACTTTTTATTCACCCTTTTGACAAGCCAATGTTCTGTTCTGCAGACTTGTATATGAGTATGGCAATGAATAATCAGAGAAGGATATAGCACTATGATTCTCTATTCTTCTGCCTATATTGATGGCTCACAATAATGTAGATGAGAGTTAGAGAGAGATGCAACTGCCATTTTGAGAACCAACCTTTGAGTGAGTGCCCAAACAGAGTATATAACATGACTTCCATGAATGTCATTGTGTAATCTCTGATAAGGTATCAGTCAGCACACCTGTCTGAGTTTGACTCTCAGAGAGTGGACTTTGAGATCCTGATGATGATTCATTCACATTCACTTTTTTTTTCTTCTGCACTGGATCTGCTCATCAGTTATGACATGTAAATCTTATCACTCTTCCACTGTAGCCCATCCTACTTATGGATTTATATACAAGCCTTCTTATATTATTACAGCTGGCAAAGAGTAATATTGAAGCAGGCATAGGAGTGAATATGTACGTCAAGTTCAGTTTATTATTCTCTATATGTCTCATTCCCAATTTTTGTCACAGGCTGATGATCTGACAGCAAACCAGTGTCCTCAACTCTAATATACAAGCCATATATGCTGAATAGAAGAAACAGAAGGCTAGATCTAAGAAAGATATCAGGAGCTGAGATCTTGCTGTTTTTGAACTGCTATGACTACATCTTGACTGAGTTCATCAGGCAGTACAATAGTCTATGTATTTGTATCTATAATACTAATTTAAATCTATTAATAGACTAAGAATCCTATTACAGCAATTACTTGCTCCTACCATCTGTTGGTTTTAAAACACTTTAAGATGATCTATAGGATTACAACTCAGAGTTTTAGAAGTTGTAATAAGATCTCCCTTAGAGAATTAGGCCAATCATATTGCTTCTCTTACAAATCATTTGTTATAAGTTATCTTTAGTATCTTGCATGAAGATACACTCTTGCTACTAGCCAGATTCAGTTTCTTGTCACAATAAGAACATCTAACACTATGTCTCTATCTGGCAGTTATGAATATATCAATGCCAGTCTAAAACATTCACTACTATCTCATAATCAGATTGCTAAATGCTGTTTGATATCAGAAATTACATCCATCTCACTATTCACCATAGTATTTAAGGTGATCTTGATATGACAATCATTGTTGCAATGCAACAGATTTTTTTCTGTGTTACTGCATGCTATATAATGAGAGACATGAAATGTGTTATATCTACAGATTACTCCCTCACTTATCTTTCACATTTCACTCAAACTTCCTTGATGTCTAATCAGACCAATATCAATGAAGCTTTTATGTACCAACTTCTTGATAATAAACTGAATTCAACAATACTCTTCTCTCTACTAAATAGTATATATATTCATTTATTCAGATATATGAGTTTAATCAGAGCTCTATATAGGCCTATATACTGGAATGGTTGCTATCACATTATGGAATACCTGTAAGAAGAATATATCCAAATCTACTATACTTCACAAGCTGAAGTGAATGGCACAGTTATGAATAAGTCTCAGCACATCAGACAAATTGGCATCACTATTGTTATAATCCTCCTCTATATTTTTACTATCATCAGCTTTGCCTTCATCTGGTCATTCATCCATTCTATCTTCATAGACAATGGACAAAGCTTTTGGACAGCATATATGTTTTCTCAGAAATCTACAGCAATAGCAATAATTACTACAGACACAACAGATATTATCTGTACTATTCTAGCAGATTCTACTATGGTATGTATGACAATAAGTATTTTTAATACAGCTTACTATTATTCCAATATAGATTTGGCACTGTTGCATAGTCTGAGGTCAGTGCTGGCTGGTCATTCTGCCTCCTATACTTTTTCTTCTTTCTGCAACTGGTAAGATGTCTCAGGTCTTTTAGAATTGGCTAATTTATGCAACAATTTGTGCAGCATTCAAAATCATTTTTACATATCAAGATTATATAGAGACCAACTATGAAGAATACATTATTAGTGATGTATTGTATTCATCTTTTATTCTTGCAACAACCTTGTGGTGCACAGTGCTCATCATCTATCATATCATCATTGTTGTATAAGCAGGAAGTCAAGCAAATGGAATCAGAGCTTACCATCACTTCATTGAAGTATTTGTGGAATCATCAGCTCTTTATTCTATATGCTTGATTCTATACATAGCTTTTTCCTCTCATAATTCTGTTAAAGATGGATACTTTGACTATTTAGCAGCAGTTGCAAGAGTATGCTTATAATCTTTTCTAATCTTCATATCTGACAAACATCATATAGGAAATTGCTCTAACACTCCTTGTTGGGTATGTTGTAGCAGATCATGCTCACCCAAATGACTCTTGGCAGGGAAGTGTGATTTCAGGCTCACTTCACTTTGGAACACATTCTGGAAGTCAGACTTCTCAGCAAGATTCTATGATCAGCATTGATCTTGAATCTCAGCAGGAGATAGATGATGAGTATGGCCATCAGAATCCAGCATCTTCTGAGGAAGATAATATCTTTGATAGTGGCATCTAAGAGGATAACTTGGAGGTGGCTCAGCAGAAAAGAGATATCATATACTCCTATCACACTCTGGCAAAATCTCAAACAGATATTAGCATCAGCTCAGAAGGTGTCACTCAAAAGCATAATTCTGAATTAGAGAAGCAGAGAGAGATGAAGTATATGACTATTGTATGTTGAAGGGCTCCAGAGAAGATATTGGTATTGAGAGTGTCATCCCCAAGGCCTAGATGGTCAACAGACACTATCAATTATCTGCTTCAAGTAATAGACCACATTCCATTCTTCTATTTTAATATTTATCAGGTATTGATTAATCTTCATTCTTCTACATATAATATATCCACTTTCCTTATAAACATTCATTGTTGTAAGAGAGATATGTCTGCAGGCATACTTGAGAGGGAAGAGAAGTAACTTTTCAGCTTTTAGATAGAGATTCTCTGATGCTGGTCCTTCATTTAAATTATATACAAATGAGGTGCAAAACTAAGTGACAAGTAGATCAGACAAGTATTCATCTATATATACAACTTATATAAACATCAACCTATGAATGAACACCTTTTACATGCTAGAGCAAAGTATATACAGAGACCTAAGATATGGCTCATACAAGATCCATGTTCAAGTAAGACTGCTCACAGCATGTGACTTTTACCAACTATAGATACCAAGAGAATGTCATGACTACATCTACAAGGTTTATATTAGTAGAAGAAATGAGAGAAGTGCTGCACTGCATTATGTTGTTATAATATAAAAAAGCCAGCCAAAGAGTATGTGAGAAAAAAGATGGAAAATATATTAAACAAGACTGAGACTCTATAGCAACCATCAGAACCAATGAGAAAGAGTAGAAATATTATGTGCTAACTTTTCAAAAGAAAGATGATATGCACCATGTGCAATAGATATAATCTGTGCAGTCAAGAGTTAACTAAGAAAAGGCAGAGGTTGAGATAAAAAGAAGAATACATATAAATTTATGTGAATGTTGAACTGATGAGTCTGAACTTGATGTTAGAGTAAATAGCAGATATATTAGACTCAGCCTCAACTGTAGCAGCAATGATGAAGGTTGTAGTGCAGGATCTATGAGAGATATCAGATTGACAGAGATCATCATTGATAGGATAGTCACTGTTGAGCCATAATATGTTGATTGCATAGTCATCTCAGATACTCAGGATCAACACTATCTCAGCCTCAAAAGCATCATCCATCTCTGTGAATCCACCTCTGGTCTTGAAAGAGTTGGTGTCACCAAAGAGTATCTTCTAGGCATTACAGAAATCATCAGTGATAGAGTTGTATATGGTGATATTAGAGAAGCCTACTGTAAGTTCTGAATAACCTGGCTGTTCTGGATATAGATCCTATGGATTTTGACAAGGTCATCAGTGGTGGTGTTGTTGAATGTGAGAAACTAAGTGATAATGCTGAACTTGGAGGTGGTGTTGACAGTCATGCTGAGGCCATAGAAGGTCTCATTGCTCATATATCACAAGTTGAAGTTGTAGCTATCCTTGTTACAGACTCTATCATCTCTCATCACCTTCACTGCAGACTGTGCCTGAGCAGACATGTGACATGAAAGCAGTGGATAGTGAGTTGGCTTTTCAAATATCCATCTCATTTCAGCATATAGCATAAAAGCCCATATTAAAATTAGTGAATATGCCAGTCCAGTTAAGCATATTTGCCTGTCAGAATATTTAGAACCCTTTAAAAAGTGAAAAATAAGACATACATCTGTCCATCAATAAAGTTCAGGCCTTGGGGACACTGAATGTCACAGTAGCCTGTAACATATGTGACATCAGTAGTGTTGGTAGAGAACCTCACTTTACCACTGTCAGCATCTATCTACACAAAATACAAAGCTCTGTTCAATCTGCAAGGCAAGTTAGATACATCAATGTCAAAGATGAACTCTTGGTTCTTCATGTTGAACAAGAGGTACATGTTCTCATTGTCAAGCAAGTAAATACAACTGCCAATATTGGTGTTGGCTCTATGAGTGATAAAGTTCAAAGTGAGAGTGTTACTGCTAGTCAAGATACTATAAGTGCTAGAGTAGTCTGTGCTGTCCAAAGCACAGTTGGCAGTACAGATATCAACATCAGGACAGAGAGAGACATCCCACTGGTTGCAATGTAGCAGTTATTGTAGCTGATGATGTGTTAGAAATATACCAATAGGGTGGGCTTGAGTGCACATATGAAGACTGGCACAGTGCATGAGCCTCAACAAGGATATTAGCAATATTACTCTTGAGTTGAAGCCTAAGAAGTGAGAATGACAGAATAGAGTCTGTTAGAGAGAGGAGATGGAGAAGTTGTTCTTTGGAGTGGAATCTATTAGACAGGAGAGAGAACTTAGAAGTGAGCATGAAGAATATTGGCTGTCTAAGTTGATATTTGAATTGAGTGTCTATAATGATTATACAGAGCTTATATACTGGTAACTAATTTTGAGTTGGTATTTGATGGGTTCTGTCACTAATTAATACTATCAAGTTGGAGACAGTGATATGAAATGTAGATATGAATATTAGAAGGCAATTCAAATGGAATGCTATAGAATTGAGAGAAGCAGAGTCTGATGAAAGCCAGTACTGACTTTGTAGGTTGTTGGTGAAAGTTGAAGTTGGTGTAAAGCAGAGACTATCAGCATGCACATAAACATATCCCCCCCTTAGTGTTCTTGCCCTCAAGAGCACAGATTCTGATGCCTGATGGAGAAACACATGGAAAAAAAATGCTTAGTGGCCATGAGAATCCTGCAACTTGAACTGCTACCACCATCATTTCTGCTAACTGGGTTGATCTCCCTTTGATGCTTTTTTTGAAATAGCCACAATTGCTTCATACTACCTATCTGCAACTCCCAAGCTCTTCAAGAGGATACCAACACTGGGCAGCATAAAAGAGGAGAAGAAAGTGTTTCACTGTTAAACCCACTTGACACCTGATTAGAACATATGATAAATTGATGCTGTATTGAGTTCATACAGTCACATCAGAGTTTACTATATGCATTCAAGTGTGTGCAAACAGAGCATTCACAGGGCAAGCTCAAGAAGGATAAGCAGTATACATAAACTTAAGCTTAAAGCTAAGTATCTACAGTGAGAGCTACACTACTTATATACAGTTTGTTCTGTAACAATAATAATCCTACTAATTGTTTGTATCTGTGTTATAGACCTTGTCACCTCTGGTCATTGGAGATAGAACAATGAGATATTGTCTGTTGATGAGACACTTATTGTCATCTGAAAGACAATGGCATGGATTACCTATTGTGGTTGCATAATCCTTTCATGGTTGTCTGTAAACACCCAAGATTAGATAGATGCTCTGATAAGATAAAATAAAAGATAAGAAAATAAAGAAAAATTGTAACATTATCCTCCTCTTAAGACCATCATTCTGATAGATCATTCTAGGGAGAGTTGATAGTCCTGGATTGCATCATCAGTGTTCATATGGTGTCCATTGACCCACTGATTCAATTCTAGACTATATCCTTTCCAGCTAATAAGACAGTTGACAGTCATACATGATCCACCACCTTATGCTTAAACTTTGCATATCTTGTGATAAAGGATTTGGTCAATCTCATAATGTTCATCATCATCAATTAAGGTGGAGTCAGATGGAGATGGTCTTTTCTAATTAGAACAGGCAGGCATGATGTAAGAGGTGAAGAGGAATTCATTAAAAACCAGATGTACATGCTAGATGCTTGAGATTTAGAGGTGATACATGAAGGCATCTACTTTGGCAAGGATTGAAAAGGGGCTGGTCTGTTTGTCAGCCAGCTTTCATTTAGGATGTGGGAGATGAAGGTTTGAGGTGTCTAACCACACCTTGTTGTTAATTGAATATTCCTGTGCTGAGCATTGGTGCTTGTCATATTGGACTTTCATAGTGGCAGTGGCTTTTTTGAGAGTGGTATGTGTTTCAGAGTGGATAGAGGACATAAGCATCATGAATTTAGAGAATGCTGGAGTTGAGATATAATATCATTCAGATATAGTGGTGTGGAGGTGTCAGCCATAGTTAATGAAGAAGGGTGTTTTACCTGTCACAGAGTGTACTCAGTTATTATGTTAGAAGGCTGCTAGTGCAAGCCACTCTATCCAGTCATTCTGCCTATAACTAATAAACATCCTCAAGTACTTTTTGATCTCCTGATTGACTTCTTCCATCTGACTGTCTGTCTGAGGATGATATGCTGTGAAGGCATTGCTTTGAATGTTTAGAAGTCAATATAGGTTGTCTAGAAATTTGGATATGAATTGTGGTCCTTGATCAGAGATTATGACTTGGGGCATTCCATGCTTTGTGTAGACTTTGTCACACAAGATCTTGACCCACCCTTCTAAGGTTAGCTTTACAGAGCATTGATATGCATTGTATCAGGCTAGCCCTAAAATTTGCGAATTTTAAACAATATATTCACATAAGCTGAAGTCAGTATGACTAGCCATTCAAGGACTATAGCTGAGGCTCCAAGCTGATAGCCATGCTATGTTAAGAAGGCTAAGGATCAATGTGGACTTAGCCAAAACAACTTTGCACTGGATTCATAATCTTGAAGTCAAAATTAGACTTAGAGGAATAATATCACCATGGTAAAATACCAAGTCAATTTAGACTTAGAAACAGTATCATGTTTAGGCCAATTCTACATGTCATCAGAGCTGGTATACCATAGTCCATCTCAGAAGTTTATTATCATGACTAGCAGTGAAGTACATCCAGCTAGCATCCAAACCCAGAGTAGAAGCAAAGTGGAACTTATTAGCCTATAGCTAGCATATCTGGTCTGATATAAAATACATACAGTGAGGATTTCTTGGGCATAAATAACTAAAGGTGCCCATAGTTCAGGGAATGAGCCACAACTGGGAAGCTTAGCTGCCTCAGATCACCATGATTGATCAATCACAATCAATAGCAAGTCTAGAAGTAACAAGCAGAACCATGGGATGGTCAATTATATAGTAAATAATCATAAGCTATAGGAACAGAGTGCCAGGGGAGTCCTGAGGCATCTGAACAGGATATATGAGGCATGCCAAGGTGGAATAACAACCTAATTTTGGGACTAGCCAGGCAAAGTGAGTAACCAGACCAAATTATTTATAGATTCTGTATCAGTTAGTTATATATAAAAGCAGGACAAAGGAGAATCATATGGCAGATGACCCACCCCTGCATTTTAGGCATTCTAGCTCTCAGTAGTTAGTCTCTGTATCAGTGGTTTTTTGTGTGTAACCTCAACTTGGATAGCATTTGTTACTAAGTCACCTGTATTAAATAAGAGTTGAAGTCTTTATCAGACTTTGGGTTTTGGCATAATTTGGATTCTGGCTTAATAAGGGTTTTGGCATCTGAATATCAGTTCTCTGGTTTCAAGGACCACTAACTAGCCACAAGTGCAGCTAGCTAAGTTTCAGTGCTTGAGAGACTTGGTATTGGGTTTCAGAGTATTTCTAAGTTAAGCTGGGCACCATAGCTCTACAGTTTAAGTCTCAATTCACATATCATGTTTTATCCCTACTCTCTTCACAAGTATTGCACCTTAGAATGTAAACTAGCCTTGAATAAACTGCCTTTATATCTTCATATTTGATTTATCTGAGTCTGCAGAGTGCTTCTATTGTCTTCAAACCACCCAAACTCACCCATATTGGTGATTGTGCATTGAGTGGTTAGGTGCAGGTGTCTGAGAGTTCTTTTCTTATTTTCCCCTCTTAGTTGCTTAGCCATTTTTCAGCATATCAGCATGTGACTAGAATGATCATCTTTGAAAAGCAGTCAACAATGATGATGATAGCATCATAACTGTTGCAGTCCAATAATCAAGTGATCATATCCACTGAGATATGGGTCTATAGTTCTTTTGGTATCTTGTTGAAATGGGTGTAGCTTGGGCCTGGGTTGTTGATTTCACCCACTGACAGGTTTCACATCTCTTGACATACTTTTCAATGTTCTGTCTTATCTTTGGCTACCAGTATTCTCTTAGCATCAGCCCCTTCATTCTCACAATCTCTGGGTGTCCCATAGTGATATAGTTATAGTGTATCATGATAATTTCCCTCCAGAGGTGATGATCTCAAAGAATATAGATCTGGTTGTTATAATAGATAAGGTCATTGATCTTAGTCATACCTCAGACATGATTGACTGAAGGTGTGACATGCTGATCCTATAGTCCTATCTTCCTCTGCTGGCATTATCATGGCCTAGAAGTATTCTGGCTTCAACAATGTTGCTCTGTCATTGTCTTCTTCTCTCTGGTCATGGTCCCCTTGCATACTTAACAGGTCTGCCTTCTTGTTGATCATTCCAGCCTTGTGGTGGAGCATATACTGATATTCAGAAAGTTCTATGACCTAGCATGCTTGTCATCAATTGAGTTTCTGTGAGGATCAGAAGTATTGGAGATTCTGGTGATCTGTCTATATTTCAAAGGTCAGTGACATGCCAATCAAGTAATGTCTCCACTCCACAAGAGCAAGTATGATCATCAGTAGCTCCTTATCATAGATCTTGTAGTTGCATTCAGTGATGGTGAGTGCCTTAGAGAGGAAGGTGACTGGCTGTCACTTTCTGTCTTGCTCCTGCAATAGTATGGTGCCAATCATGCCTTCACTCATATCAGCCTCCACTCAGAATCATCCCAACTCTGTTGGTACCACCAGTACCACATCCTCAGC